TAAAAACTTTATTCATTTTGAGAGAAACGTCTCGAGCTGAACTTTTTTAAAGTGCTGAGGATGAGCTGCAAACATGGATCAAACTTTTTCTTTTTAAATAAAATTGATTTGTATGTACACTTTCTTAGGCAAAGTCTTTGACTTTATCTGGTTACGTAGCTGCATGTAGTTGTATTTTGTTTTGTTTTGTGTTCTTATTTTACAAAATGAGTAGAAATTAAACAGGAACTCGTCATTTTTAGAGGAATAGTAATTATTCCTCTGTCCACAAGATCATCTAGAAAAACTAAATACATGCCGGGAAAAATCCAAATCCTCCATCAGCAGTAGCATCTTTTCAGTACTAACATTTTTCAAAACATCCTCATGTTTGACGTCAAACTTTCAGCAAACTAAAACCTAAAGCACGTTTAGTCAAGAGGTTGAATCAGCTGTAAGGGAAAGTGACGTAATTGCATTACTGGATTGCCAACTGTGGCGGCTTTTAATGCAGGAAGTTAAATTACAACAGCAGTGTTTAGGCTGATCCTATTATACTCTCTGGCATGGAAAAGGAAATAAGCCTGCAGAGTCAGGAAGATCTTCAGTCAGTCTGTGGTGTCAGACACATCTACTGGCTTTCACCCTGTTAAAGAGGTGAAGAAAGCCTTTAAATAAGCTGATCTCTTATGCAGTAGTAGTTCGTCGAGTTCAGAAATCCAGAGTTTAAAAGTGAATGTTTTCACACGGTTGGAGCATGAGGAATAATCCTTGACCGTCACTCTTTACATACTTTCTCTGGACTGTTAATAGCTCTGGATGCTGCTGTATGTATGCTGGTCTGCAGCTCAGCCCACAGGTTTTCTATAGGATTTGGATCTGGTTATGATTCATTCTGTGTTGATCTGGACATAAGTCATAAATTATTATCCTCTTGAAAGAACAAATGCTGATTTGTTTTCCGTTTTCTGTCAGAAGTTAAATACAAAAAAATTCCCAGTTCTACAAAAAAGTCACCGCTGCCATGTATTCCAATATGGTTTCCAAGGAAACGAGCCCATAGCATGACAGGTCCTTTACCATACTTATCTTTGGATATCATACTTATCAGTTTTATTAAAGTATGTTTTATTGAATACTTCAATTTTATTCTAATCTTATCGAAGGTCACAGGTTGACTTAAAGCTTTAGAAAACTCTAAATGTTAATATTTGTGATGGTAGGACACAAAAAGCTATTTCTTTCCTAAACAACTGGTTGATGTAGCGATAACATGGTTGTCATGGGAACTTAAAGTCTAACCCTCCTGCTCACTGTGCAGGAATTTATTTCAATGTTGGTTTTTTTTCACATCTTAACCAGGGTTGGCAATAAAATGAGATTGTATCATTTCCATATTTCATAGTATAAATTATCTTCCATCTCATGGGAAAACTACAAATTTCAAGCAGACAGAAATCACAAAAATATCTTTCATATTAACATACATGCAACCATTTTGCATCCTTCATGACGAGGTGCAGCAGAAAGTCTGAAATTTTAATTATATTTTCACTATTTTCACCAAAGAAGGCAGCGAATCTCTGTAATTTGAGAATGCTAATTTTAGGGGTGCTGAATTTGGGCTTAGAACAAAATTGATATCTCCATGTCACACAGATGATACGATCAAAAAGCAAGCAGAAGGTTTATTGAGTACTTTACCGTAAACGGACGTTAACTAAACAATAGAAAATCGGCTTCAGAAGTCCAGGCATACTGTGAACGAAAATAAACGCATGCACACAGTTCATAGCTATGGTCTCCGTTCGGCGGTGAAACAACGCACCTCTACATTTCCCTAACGGTCAAGGTTGTGTTGTGGTTTGAAATGTGTTGTTGCCAGTCACGAGCCTCCTTGATTTCAGTACAAAACTTCAGCAATAAGTGCAAAATGTCAGCAGGATTGCTGGGGAAAGTTTGGCAAACTAAAAGCAAGACATCCGGATTCATTTAGAGAATGAAACCCTGCACTACTGCACAGCGATTCTCTTCCCACGGTGGCAGAGATATTTCGGTCTAAATCACACAGACTCATGGAGAAACCTGGGGCTTGTCATTTTTAATGTGTGATGCAACAGTAAAGCAACCTTGTGCTAACTATACCAAAGCTTTTTCCTGCTTAGTGCCAGTGTTACCAGAAGCCTTTCACAGAATATGCAAAATCATCCACGAAGTTCTGCTGCTTAATTAAACCCTCTTTGCAACAACATGCTCCATAAAACAGCTAAAAAAAAAGCACATTAAACACCTCTGCATGGTTTTCCAGGTGATTCAAGCTATTAGCTAAGAAAAGATGCATGTCGAAATCTGGCTTCATCGCAGCCCGGCGAGTGGCGGATTTTTATTTTTTATTTTTTCCTTTGGTGAGGATTGAATAAAAATCTTTTTGGCTCTTCACACAAAGTGAAGCAGTTAAATCTCCAATTCTCAGGATGTGAGAAGAGTGGTGAGGAAACAACTCGAGGAATCGTCAACTATCTACTAAGTCATCTTGAGCATTCGTGTCTTTACAGCAGAATTTTGCATGTTTCGGGTCACATCTGTCGCCGTTTTGAAAAGGTAGCGGGAGGAAGATGGAGTTATGACATGCAGATGTCCTTCAGTTTAATATGTTGCTGGACACAAAGAGAAAACAAAAAGTAAAGATTATAAAATAAAACATCTGTACAATATCAGACCATCTCAGTTCAGCTGTCTGCACGGCGGTGGACGGGTGATGATCTGGGGTTGCTACACAGTTTAGGAACTGGTTAAAGTATTTTAGAGAAGTACATCATCGCCTGGAGAATGTGCCTCAAAAGAGAAATGGACAATGGCCTAATCAAAGGCCAGACCTGAGTCTGATTGGAAAGCTGTGGTTGGTAAATGGACTGAACCTCTATGGTGCTAGAGTCACATTCACCCATTCACACTCACAACTTTTATACACGATGTGCATCAACATGTTGCAGGAGGAAGCTGGAATTGAACCTACAACCTTCCGATCACAAGACAGCTTCTCTACCCACACAGTCACATTCAGAGATCTGTGCATCAAAAAATACCTTGAAAGCTTCAGAGGAGTGAGGGACCATAAAGAGGGGTGGAAATAATCCTCAGGAACAATTTGAGCGGCAAAGAGAGTCACACAAAGAAACGCCTGCAGCTGAACTATCTACTGGATTTTCTACTGCAAGTGGATGAAGGTTTTTATCTTTTTCTTTTTTCTTGACTGATACCAGCTGATAAAGATGAGATTCAATCCAGCTGCTTTGTTCCTGCGTTTCATTAACTAAAACGTTTTCACTGTGCCAGAAAATCTGCTTCATTAAAACTAAATCAAAGTAGTGATGCGTCATCTGTGCTTGGAGCTTTTGAAAACCAACCTGATAACGTTTCCAGCTAGATGTCACCACAAACTGTTCCCACGACATCAAAACCAACACGGCGTATCGTCGAGAGGACGTAAAATATATTTTATGAGTAAATAGAGGAACATGGACAGGCTGGAGTGTCATCTGTGTTTCATATTCAGACATGGACTAAGTGTTGAGCTTATTGTTCATGCTTTTACTGTATTACAAATAACTGATTAGGAAATATTATAGCTTCAGTTGAAGTTAAAATGCCTAATATTCTGCTATAAGTGAATGCATTACAGCCACAAACTTTCAGGATATTTTCTATGCGATGTTTCCTCCAGTTGTAATTCATGCCTTTGGTACAAGAGCTAAAATGTAGCATGCTAAATGATGCTGCTCAAGAGGCATTTTCAACAGAAGAGCAGAAATGTGCCTGTTTTAGGCATAAGCAGCAAGTGTGAAATAACAGCCCTGAAGTAAAAAAAAAGGGGAAAAAAATCCCATTAAACAAAGCTCCTTTGCTTGAAAACACACATTTGAACTGAATATTTTTAGCAGAAGGGCTCCATATGACTGCAGGCTGTAAACATCACACGTCGTAATTTCCAAACATGCCTTTTGTAGACAGAAAGTCAAACAGAAAGCTAACAGTTTGTTCAGGAAGCAGGAAAAAGAGGCGCTCTGTCACAGTCGTCTCCTAATATTCAAACCTAAATGTACCAAACCGGACATTTCTCATCGAATCAAACCGTCTCAAGGCGCACCGTGTTGTTGCTGTGAAACAAGTGTAAGATTTCACTGTGTGTCGAGGATATGGAGATGCACCTCTCGAGTTTGACACCCTGTTGATTCATCTTTGCCGCTCTTATTTTGAAGCATAAAAGAAACTTACGACTGAGTTGGCCTTTTGTGTTGAAAAGATGGCTAGTAAGGTTTCTGAGTGACAATACATGATAAGAAGCGTATTAGCTAGCAGCATTTTGGATACTCTAAGTGCCTTTGCACAAATATGAATATGAAGCAGTTAGCCGCTAGCAACGCTAAACTTAGCATCTACTTCAGAGCTATCGATTGCTGCTAAATTAAAGTCCTTTTTAAAAGAGTCAGGATGAAATTCGTATTGTTATTAATATTATTTTTTCTCTTTCTCTTTTTATCAACTTATTCTGTTGTGTTATTGTTTTAGCACGGCACATTGGTGCAGTTTTAAACCCGGTTTTAAAAGTGCTATATTAATACATTTGACATTGATAATCTTAATATAAAGTGGATAATTCTGTATTTTTCACGTATTATTATAATTATTATAATTATAATTAGCATATTCTACTGGTGAAAACACACAAAAAAGGAGGGTTTTCATTAGTTTTTGGCATTAGAACCACTTTAGATTGAGAGAAGCATAAAAATACCAATTTGACCTAAATAGCGGTCAAACATGAAGGACTTATTCCAACTTGATAATTTATTATTTGAAACACAGTCTGTGATATGGGAAGGTTTTATCCAAGAATCCACAGTCATTCACATCTTAAATCAAACACACAGTGTAAGAATAAGCAAAAGAAAGCTATGAAATTTAGCAAAATCATTTCCTAAAGCCGCAGACAATAAACAAAACAAAACAAACAAACCTACCTGTATTAGCGAGAGGTTACGGAGATCCAGTCTGAAAAGGTAGTTTCTGGATTGAAAGGATGAGAAAGAAAAGAAACGTATGAGTGATTTCTCCTGTGTGTGAAGAAGCTGCATTACTGCTCAGTATATTATCGTTTTCAGTTCAGTGGAAGTCGGCCATATTACACATTCATGAAATATCAGTGTTACTTCGGCGTGAATGACTCTAACAAGGCCAAACCAGGCACAAAGCTTAGCTCATATCCTTTCATCAGAACATGCACACACACACACACACACGCGCACAAACACACACAGAACCGCAGCGTGATGCATTTCTCTCAGATTCCTTCCTCCTGCCAAAATCTAAAGCTTAACTTGGTCCAGTGGGGCTGCACCAGAGCAAGTTAGAGGCGTCATTATCCGAAAACCGCGCTGGATGAGTGAGTCAGAAAGGGTATCAGTTTCTCAGTAATGTGCTCTGTAGGGTGAGAAGCTGAGTGGATTTACAGTTTCTTACCTGGCACCCACAATAAGCTCATCCCTAGTCAGGTCAAGGGTGAGCTGCGAGTAGTCTCTCACGCCGGGGTGGGAGAACGCGGAGATCCACGGGCTGAGCGCTAAGGAAGACAGAGAGAGAGAGAGACGGAGGGGTTAGCAGGGGCTAAAGAAAAATAATCCTGTGAAATATGAAGAAGAAGAAGAAGAGTTCAGATTTCTACTTAGCAAAACTAAACTCTTGGCTTTGAACAAGACGGTCACTTTCGGTACTTATTTGATGAGCAAGTGGAGGTGTGAGGTTACATCACCGTGGGTGACGGGGTAGAAGAAAATAAACAACTACAGAGTCTTACAACGTATTCATGTCCTCCTTTTCTTAATTTTGGATTTTAATTTATAGACAAAAAAATGGTGTATAGTTTTGATGCGTTTGTGTTCAGACTCAACCTGAAGAACCAGATTTCCTCCACCAGTTGCTCACATTTACAGATCGACATTTATAGCCATTTGTCCTTGTAAAGAAACTGGAGCACAGTCAGACTGGATGAAGAATGTGTGAGAACACGGAATTCAGGTAAGAACTTTGACTAGGACACTATAACACCTAGATAAGCTTTCATATTAACCAATCCGTTGAAGTTCTGACAGAGTTGGAAAATAACTCTCAGTCCCAATCTCAAGTATTTTGTTTCCTCTAAGTTGATTTTGCATTATTTCCTTTATTGTCGTGTATTTAACTCCGATTTCACAATAACCCTCAGCAGCACAACGCTGCCACCAGTTTGCACATCCACACTCGTTGGGTTTTGATAATAGCCAGAAATGTAAGTTCTGTTCTCGTCTGACAAAAGCATCTTCTTCCACATGTTTGCTGGGCTCCCAAAACAGCTTGTGCCAAACTACAAACACGACCTTCTCAGGACCTTCGTTCAACAGCCACTTTCTTCTTCTTGACATTTTTCCAAATCCAGACTTGTGGATTTGGAAAGCGCAGCTAACATCCCAACCTGAGGTAAGGATGTGTACAGTTTCTCCAGAGTCAGTCCATGTAAGAAAACAAACCCTGACATTTTGTTGCAACATGTCAAAAATGTTCACATAGTAACGATTCTGCCTGGTACTGTAAATATTAGCTACAGCCTTTTTTACTCCCATATTATCTCCTATGTAACAGAAAAGCCTTTTTTCTTTTTTTTTCTTTTTTTACACTAAACTAGCTGCCTTTCTACAGACTAATCAGCGCGCTGATTATTATTGAGCAGCAGGCTGAGAGGAATAACCAGAGCAGAGAAAGCCTGCTCCAGGCTCAGGGTGTTTCCTACAGAGGAGCACAAAGCCGCCTGGGCCACATCAGGCACGACGACACTGATGCAAGCAGACGTCCTTACAAACACAGCTCCGTATGGGGCGCCGAGCTGAATGCTCGCCGCTGTTTGAGTGTGGCATTTACAAATCCAAATTTTAAAGTGGCAAACCGGAGGGGCCGAGCGGCGAGGCTTTTAACGTCACATCGAGTAACGCAGGACGGAGAACTTTCTGCCCCCCGTCTTTGTGGGGATCGTCTCTAAACGGATTTGACCGAATCAAAGTTTGTGCAGCATGAAGGGATTTGCCATATCTCACGCCGGACAAACAATTAGAGCTGTAAAGCGAGGACAGAGGTTCCCTTTCACAGCTTAAACAGCTGTGGTAACCAGATTTGAGATCCTTTTTTTCTTTTCTTTTTTTTTTTTGTCCGCTGTGTTAAAACAGAGCTGAATAACAACTGGGAATAGAAAAAAAAAAAAAACTACAAAAATTATTTAAATTAAAAAAAAAAGACCAAATGTGCTTTTAAAGGGAAAAAAACCCTGATATAAATCATGACAAATTACACGTGTACGGTAGAGACACTGACAAACTGGCTGTGATTCTAACAGTCATAATTTCTCTGAAAAAAAAAAGGCCTTTCGTGAAACTTTTAGGTCTTGATTCTGACGGAGCTTTTGAAACCTCGAATGTATTGCAGAACTTCACACGCCAAAGTGAAAAGGGAGGTGGATCTCAGGATTGATGGGGCCCATATGGCCCCCCATCATCTGGAAACATAACCAGAGAGACGACTGACGATGCAACGGAACAGGATGGCGCTCGTCACTTAGGAGATAAGACCGCCGTGCACAAAAACACACACCTATACTTCGTATCGGTGTGTTTTTGAGAGCAGACAAGCTGTGCGATTCATCTGCCAGATGTGGATTAAGTTTTTGCCGGACAGCTGTTGTGTTTTACGCATTTATAGCGGTAAGATGCAAGGAGGGCTGAGTTTGTGCAGATTTCTGATATAATCAAGTTACAATCCAAAAAAAACCCAAAAAAAAACATGCGGTCATTGTAGACATGATGGCGAACCTGGAAATAGCAGGGCATTTAAACTAAACGCATCAAAGCATAGAGGGGGAAAATATTAGGCTAATGGGAGAGAAAATGTACAGACTGCACTTAAAATCTGCCAGGCAAATAAGCCCTGCACTATAAGAAGTTTTATTTTTTTCCACTTCTGAAAGCAGAATGTGTCGTCTCTGCATCAGTGTGGGTGTATGTATACATTTGAGCCTGAATATTTAATTTCATCTGAGATAAGAAAACTCCACATTAAATGTAAATTCCCATTAATTAATGCGTCACAAGTAGAGTGATTTAAATGAATCAATTACAGAGAGTAATAACGTGCTTTATTTTATAAAAGTCCTGAGCCGGATTGTATCATGAAATCTGACAACAACAAACATCTCCAAACAACAATAAATATGTTTGTTTTTGTCCATTTATTTAATAAATTAGCAGCAAAAATTGGTTTTGAATTGACAATGTTGCTCATTTTGTTGATATATTGTTTTCCATTAAAACATGACTAATTGCGATTAATCAATTGCAGACTCGGCAATGAACTCGATCGGAAATTTTACTCCAGTCCCGCCACTAATTAAAAGTCATTAAATCTCTATTCCTGATCAGTTCACCCTGAAAAAACAAACAAAAAACAAAACAAACAAAAAACGTTTAAACGAATCACAAAAAGCCTGAAAGCTATTACAACGATTCTGATGAGTGCCTGTAAACTTCTGACCACAACCAGAACCAGAATACTGATCTGAAAAATCAGAGTCCAGAACAGAGAATCTCTTCAGCCAGAGGTTAAGCTGCAGCCCTCTAAACTGAACCTGCTAGGAAATGTGCAGATAGACAAAAAAAAATATATATATATAAAACAAGAGCAGTAAAACCCAAAGCTGTCAAATAATCTTGCAGCAATAGAAACCTCTCAGCAGGCAAAAAAAAAGGATGAAATCCCCCTCTTGTCTGCAACAAAACACAGCTTACAAGCAGCAATACTCGCCAAAGTTGGTGCAGCTCAGCACTGACCACACAGGGAGCGAAACCTTTCGCTTGGGGGCTTTTATTTTTATTTTCAAGCTACAAAAGACGGATAGAATCCCCTCCCGTAAAATACAGACTCACACTACCATATGTACGGCTAATAGCAAAACAACAGACGGCTCGTCGTTTCAGCAGCAGCTCTAATCCGATCAAGAAGATAATAAAAGCGTCACAAGTCAGGAAGTAGAAGAACGCCAAGACACAGAAGTCTTACAAAAATTGATAACAGACTGGAAAACACTTTTACAGATGCAGAAATCATAAACTCAATTCATCATACAATTGTTCAAAATACTGCTCCCGTTGTAAACATTTGGGCTAATACGGGCTCCCAAAGGTCCGCCCGCTCACGTTGATGGATGTGTTTTTTTGTCTGGCTGTCTCAGACGTGTAGGGTGGATGTGGAGGTTAGTGTGAGCAGGTGAGTGGGGCCAGAGCTGCTGATTTATAGCCGCAGAGGCCGAAGCTGGAGCGGGAAGGAGGCAACAGTTGGCGCACTTTTGGGCACCTTTGGCCTCGTAAGTCTTCGGTAAACACACTCACAGTTCACGTAAAAAATCCATCATGTTGGACAGAGAGGGAGCGCCGGCTTTCCACAGGGAGAATAAACACCGTGACGCATCGTGAGATTACAGAAAACTGTCCAAAAGCCAAAATATTCAAGCCACTCACTGGACCTTCTCGCTTTAACATCAAAATGTCTGCAATTAGTCTGACTATTTATAGGCTTCAGGATTTTCTTTCTCTTATTGTGGCGTTTTCTCACCCCCCGTCGCTTCCGTATGCTCAGAGATAACATAGCAGTCATACATACCGAGACATCATCACTGAACGCGACACTGCAACCCACAATCCACCCACATTATAGCGAGAGTGCAGAGTGATATCGATGCTTCAAAGTGGAACCAAATTCAAAGAGTTGGACGCAGCTGGGAGGTGAAGGATGTTTTAATGAAAAAAAAAAAAAAAAGCTGAATTATGAGTTCAAAAGCGGTAAAATTGTCCATTCGTCTGGTTTGAGGTTCTTGTGTTTAGATGCCAGGTTTATGTCCACCTGAATGGAGCGTACTCCTCAAACATGCATCGCTGTAAACATATTTTCTTGTCCACTTGCTGGAAACTTAATTGTTTCAAAATGTGCTCAGTTGCACAAACCACACAAAGAACATTAAAATGATTGATGAGTCACCCTTGATTCTTATTAATACACTTGAAAACTGAATAGTTATTGGAATTACTACCCAAGTTTCTTGTGAAAATACTATGATAATTTTGGACCACGGTTATCCACATAGTGCAATAAATTACATCCAAATCCGATCCTTGCTTCACTGTGTTCAAGCTATTTTTAGTCAATGACATAATCTCAATGTCCTTGCAAATAGTGCAAGTAAGCGACAAAACTTCTGTCCATGAAACCAGAAAAACCAGCGCATTTATCACATTTAGCAAAGCCCAAAAACAAACTCCCTGCTGGAAAGCTAACCGAAGCTAATCTAATAGCATCGGGCGAGTGGAATACATGGCAGAACCATCAAGACGAAATTTGGCCGAACACCCTCCTCGTTAAATGCAAAATATATCCAGGAAAACATCCACAAATTAAAACAAATGGCACTTTGGGAAATGTCAGACAGCTTAAAGTGACTTATTCTCCCCATATAATAAGGCCATTAAAGCTGAGCACACGACACGAACC